TTTTTTTTTTTTTTTTTTAAGAAATTGCAATTTCTTTCATTTTGACCCTTATCTATGCTAACTTTACTAACACCTTTTGCTTAATAAGATTTGGTTTTTAATGGTTTTTGACTAGATAAATTTAGTATTTATATAGAGGTCATCTCGATCTTTATTCACCACACTTGAACTTGAACTAATTTTTAACAAAACTGTCTTCCATCTATGCTCATTAATATCAATAGCAACACTTATTAGTTCTCTAGCATTCTTTATTGTTGATGCAATGATGTCCATTTCATCCATCTTCCTCAACACAAGTCCATTGGCTTAGAGCCTATAGCTAGTGGCTTAGGGAAAACCTCCATCTCAATTGTGTGGCACTCTAGTTGAACACAACCTTGTATTGGTATGACAACCTTTTTCATCTCAATGATAACCTTATGGTCCTTCAGCTTTGAAACCAGAGCCTCAACAAGCTCAATAGGACAGTCCACTTGAACAAATACCCATGCCTCCTCTAGTATCGGTGTGATGACCTTCTTCATCTCAACGTCAGCCTTTTGGTCCTTCTCATCCAACTTAATAATCACCTCGTTGTGGACAGAGCTGCAAAACCTTGTCAAGATTGTCCTCTGGACAAATCTTCTACGTGAAAAGCAAAAAGAAGTGAGATGTTTGAAAAAAACGAAGGGATGCTAGGAGAAGGAAAGGGATGATGGGATGGAATGGGATGGGATGGGATTGGGATGGAATTGGGATGGATGAAATAAAAAGAAAGAAGCTGAGGTGTGAGAATGGCTGTGAGTGTTAGGGCATGTCAGTGCATAAAATATAAGTCGAAATAGACAAAATGGATGGATAAGTAATTGGGCTTCAGCCCATTCTATTGTTAGCTGAGAAATCGAAATATTTATCATGGGTGACTAAATCAGATCCCCTATTTGGTTGAGCTAAACTTAGTGAATTTGAGAGTATTTATTATTACTACAACACTTAATAACTTTTGTTGATAAAAAAAACTGAGAATGAGTTTGTTTTTGGATATAAATTATACTAGTTAATGAGAGTTAATTTTCTTTTTACTATAATATTGACTTGTATCCATGTGCCAAAATAATAATAATACTAATAATATTAACTTGCATCTATTTGGATCAAAAACACTTGGGCTTTTCTATTTAAGTCAAAAGCACTTGAGGTTTTCTATTTGGATTAAAACACTCGGTTTTTTTGTTTGGATTAAAACACTCAAACTTTTTTGTTTAAGTTAAAAGCACTTAGGTTTTTCTGTTTGTGTTAAAAATATTTAGACTTTTCTATTTAAGTTAAAAATACTTAGGCTTTTCTATTTGAGTTAAAAACACTCGAATAATTCTGTTTGGGTTTAAAACACTTGGACTTTTCAAATATTTAGGTTAAAATACCCAAACTTCTTTGTTTAGATAAAAACACTTAGGTTTTTTTATTTGGGTTAAAATCAATTGAACTTTTTTTGTTTAAGTTAAAAATACATAGATTCTTCAACATGCCCGCCAATCCCCAGCCACCACTATCACCATTGCTTCTAGCGTCACCTCAACTACCATTGTTGTCTGCATCACCTCCATTGTCATGTTTTTAACTCCAATTTTCGAACCAAATGATGCCCATTTTTTTTTTTAATGGCTTGCATATCCTTCATTTTAGCTCTTATGTGAGCTAGCTGCAGCAATGCCTTCTTCTTAATAAGCTCCTAGATCACAGCGGTTCTGCGCCTAGTTAAATCAACCTCCACATACAATTTATCGCAATCTTTGTCAATCACTCTCACAGTAGAACCAATATCCTCGACAACTTTCTCCAAATCATGTTCCCTAATATTAGCAGAAACAGCCAGACTCAGCAATTGGGCAACCTTTTTTACTATTGAAGAGGTAATATTTACGTCATCTATTTTCCTCATAAATTGGCCCATCGGCTTTAAAACCAAAGTCTCAACCTCAATGGTGGGGCAGTCTTCCCGAACAAACACCCATACTTCACCTTATATTGGTATGACAACATTTTTCATCTTATTGATAACTTTTTGGTCCTTCAGCTTTGAAACTAGAGCCTCAACAGGCTCAACAATAAAATAGTCCACCTGAATGAATACCCATTCCTTCTCTGTTACCAGTGTGATGACCTTCTTCATCTCAGCATCGGCCTTTTGGTCTTTCTCATCAAACTTAGTAATCACCTCGTTGCGTACAAAGCTGCAAAACCTTGTCAAGATTGTCCTTTGGACAAATCTTCCACTCGCCAAAGCATTCATGGTAGTTAGGTGGGTTGCGATGAGAAAAGCAAAAAGAAGATGAAATGTTTGAAAAGAATGAAGGGATGCTAGGAGAAGGAAAGGGATGATGGGATGGGATGGGGTGGGATTGGGATGGATGAAATAAAAAGAAAGAAGCCGATATACAGTTGGTGAGGCCTACTCGTTGATAGTTGGTAGGAATGGAATATTAGAACCACGAATTTGCAAAAGGCTATAAGGCAAATTGAATCCATCCAAGATCAGTTGCTTTGGTTGGCGCCTCTTCCTTAATGGTCTCCCATCAAAATCAAGCCTTTTAAAAAGGGGCATCCAACTTGAAAAGGCAGAGACTATTTGTTGCATTTGTAGAAGGGAGCTTAAGGATGATAACCATTTGTTTGTTCAATGTTCAAAGATTCAGGGACTATGGATGAGATGCTACAAATGGTGGGTGATTTCCTTCTCCCTCAAAATACTCACTTCTAGTAAATGCAATAAATAAATTAAATTAAAAAAATGATACATATACATGACATATGTTGGGCTTAGCCAAAAATCAATGAACTTTTTGGGTAAAAATAAACTTGATACATTTGAGACTTGATCCCAAGCTACTTTTTATGATGAATAAGAGCTCCAACCACTAGAGCCACTTCAAACTCTTTTAGCCCACAATGAATGAAACCCACTTTTTTATAATCTCTCTTGTTTCCTTTACACGCATATCTTTCCAACAACACAACTCCTTGTTAGAGCACTTTATCTCTAAAACAACTAAGAAAAACCTCTCAACCACCACAAAAATAACTAGAATGAGATATAAAGCAAACTTCTTTGCAACTTGGGCATCTCATGCCAAGCCGAAGTTAACCCGTGTTACAACACCACCGTCAACGACACCTAGGTTTAAAATAAATAAATATAAAATCTTTCATTAATTTCACCATAAAACTTTAAAAAGGAAATCAACGGACGTGATGTTTCCACGTCCATTCGGCCTCTTCGACCCCCTTTTTAATCCTCTAAACTTATTTTAAATTACCAAGTGAGCTCTTAAATTAAAAACAATAAAATAAGTTCTCTAACCCTTTGAATTATATAGATTAGTCCTCAAACCTCTTAAAAAATGTATATCAACTCTTATCATTAATGATTCATTACTTATGACCTCATGCTATCTAGTTTTTCCTTTATTTGTTCAGTAAAAATCCTATTAAAGTAACCCATATGGCCGGCTCTTTTATTTCTGTTTAGTATTCTAAAGTTATGTGGACCATTTTAGTAAATTTCTCACATAATAAACAAATGAAATGTAAATTTTGTAATTTTATTTTAAAAAATAAAAAATTTATTAATTAATTTTTTAAACTCAAAAAAGTTACATCATTAGCTGAAAAAAATAAGAACAAATTTTATATCTTACGATCATCTTTTCCCAGATCTGCAAGCTTGTCATCTACTTTTAGCTGAAGACTTTATGATTTAGTTGTTAGGTGTACCTAATATTTTAAAATAATTAAAATTTAGACTATAGTACTACTATGTTAAAAACTTCTAAAAAAAAAAAAATCTTCGGTAATTTAATTTGACAGATTTTTTTAAAATTATTTTAATCAGTTTCTGAACTGGTTTAAAACCCCCGGGCTTCACTTTGTTGACCTGTCTCGCAATGATTTGGCCAGCGAAGGAACATCTCTACTTTCCCTTTTGCTTTCGTGGTGAGGACGACCCAGAGTTAAAGAGGGAGCACATGGCTCCACCGCCCCGAAAGCTTGAATTAAAATATGTGGGTAATCACGTGCACATTTCGTAGAGAGATATGGATAAGCCGGCAGAGAAATTGATATTTTATATTATTAATTAAGATTTAATTTTTTTAAAAAATTAATAAAAAAATAATTTTTTTATAAAATTTTAAATTCTACTATAAATAATTTTTTTTAATTAAATTAAAGAATTAATTTTATGATATATGTAAATTAATATAAAAACATCATAACAACTTTGAAAAAAACGTGCGCCTGATTGCTTGACCTTTCACGTGTGAACTTTGAGTCGGATCCATCCATGATCCACCCATGTTCACAGACCTTGGCAATAGTCGATGTATATCCAAAGCTATCTTTTCTTTGATTCAAGATTCATTACTTAAATATAGTCATGTTTGGAGAGGACTGCTTTTTGATTTATTTATTTTTATTTTTTATTTTTTGAGGAAGTGGTTTTTTTATGTTTTAATTCTTGGCCAATACTTTTTCCCATAATTAACAAATTTTAGGATGAGGAATGAAAATTTAACTCTTAAGACAATAAAAGATGCACCAACAAATTGAATTAGAAAATTAAAACTCATAAATTATCAAACCATGAGAAGTTAAGGAATATAATTTGTGGTGAATAATATACCTAGTTATGATAAAATAAGAATATAGGTTAGAAAAAATTATATTTTTAAGGGTAGTGATATAAAAATAATTTTATGTATTATTTTTTTATATAACTTTCATATATCATTAAGGTTAAACCCCTATTTTGGTCCCTGAACTATTGTACGGACCCCCGATTTGGTCCCTGAACTA